GTCAAGGAGAACTTCTCCGAAGTTTGGATAAGGCTGCAATGCATTGCATCCAGGAGCAAGGCATGTCCCAGGGCTGGATGGAATTCGAGGTTTTGTTTTTTTCCAAAACATGGATGTGGAAGCATGTTTGTCATTCCTCAGCTGCTGCAGAACCTCTTTTTAAGAGAGCCTCCAGTGAAAGACAATAATATTCAACTCTTTCTAGAGGGCGATTGAAATATATGAAAATCTTATCAATGAACTTCTCTTATTTACTCCACTTTGATCTTAAAAAAGCGTTTTGTTACTTGTTCAGTTAGTGGAAACAAAATACCTGTTGATCCTACCAGAAAATTAGTGCTTTCCAGCGTCCTGTGCATTTTGCAGTCTTAAGGTGCCCATACACTGCGCGATTCTCGTACGAGAATCGTGCAGTGTATGGAAGGAGTGCGACCGTTTCTACTGTACGGTCGCACGTCTTCCGTCGAACCAGCAGGCTAGAAACCCCGCCGGGAATCGTACGATTCTCGGCGAGTTAGTGGCCTGCTGGTTCGACAACTGCCGAACGGGCCGGTCTGCGCACGCGCACACAGCCCGTTTGCAGTGATCGTAAGCCCGCCCCTAATTGCAGTCATCGTAAGCCCGCCCCTCAGGGGGGCGGGCTTGCGATGATCGCAAGTACGATCTGCCTGTCCTAGATGGGCAGATCGTACGTTTTTTAAATTACTTTACAACCATCGCAAGACTAAGGTCTTGCGATGGTTGTAAAGTGTATGGCCACCTTTAGGGCCTGTTCACAGTCTTGCGAGGGTTGTGAAGTGTATGGGCACCTTAAAGCTGGCCATACACCTATAGATTATCTGCAGATTTTCTATGGTCAGTTGGAAAAAGTGCAACAGATTCCTCCATCTACGCTAAACTGTGTGGATGGAGGAATCTCCCGCCGGGCCAAGCTTCAGTATCTTGCTAGACTGCCCCGTGACGTGACGAGAAGCATGGGGACAGCTTCACTGGTAATTGGGAAGCCAGGTGGCGAGTCCTTACACGCAGCCTGGCTTCCTGAATGGGACTTTCGGTATCGGCGAGTACCAAAAAAAAATATTGGTACTCGATATCGATACCGAAATACTGTTATCGGTGGATCCCTAATAAATAAAAAACAGCCATGAACAAGATTAAAGGGACCCCTGTAGTCTCCACCAGCGTTGCATGTGACAGGGTGACAACCCAGCAGCACAATTGGAAGAGATTTGTTACCCCATAACAGGAGGTCCCCTAACAGGGACCCCTTCATGGCAGGACCACCAGGTATTATTGTATGAAAGCTGCAGATTTGAAACGGCTAAAAATGGCTACGGTTCTCTTTTTGCAGAAAGCTTTTTCGCACAAAGCTTCAGCCGCCTATAGCTCTGGCTCTCTGGAACTTCCCAGGTCTCTAATGTTTGCAAAACAGGTATTCCTCACTTAACGACCGAGTTCCGTTCCTACGACCAGGTCATTAAACCAATTGGTCGTTAAGTGAGGAACTCTATACAGTACTGTACTGCATTAGGACAGTACTGTATAGCGTTGCAGATGTACATTACCGAACAGTGTACTGTACATCGGGCAATGAAAATACTTACCGGGACCCGCAGTGAAGATCGGAGGACATCACTTCCGCCGGCGACACGTCGCACTGACGCTGACGCACAAGGTCGGAGGTCGATCGGCGGCCCGTCGTAAGTGCGAGTGGTCGCAAAGCAGGTAAGTCGGTAACCGAGGAATGTCTGTACGTTATTTAGAAAATAAAGAAACACTTGTTTCTCTTACAAACATTTGTTGAAAAATATACTTAATTGTAGAGTTGATTGCTGTTTGTTGAAAAATAACTTTTCTTTTTTCCCGTATTAGGGAATGTTCACACCAAGCGCGTTCCAGGAGCAGAGCAGAGCAGTTAATGACCGGATCAAAACTGCGTCCAATGTATTCCAATGGTATTTGGGGCTCTAGTTCACACCACAGCGTTCAGTTCCAGAGCATGTAAATAAAACTGCAGCAAGCCCTATTTTAGCTGCTCCGGAATCCATGCAAATGCATCAAAAACGCATGCAAACGCTCTGGAACGCACTGAAAGCCCATTTTAAACACAAAAAAACAAAAACTACAGCTTGTGGTATACTGAGACCGGCACAGCCGGGACGGATCCAGACATTACTGTCGAGATCCGCCCAGCTGCGTGATTGACAGCTGACTCTGCCTATCTAGAGGCAGAGCCAGCTGTACCCTCCCCGTCCGTTCCGCCAGTCAGCGCTGGAGGATCGGGAGGGGGGGGGGAGCCCTGCCGGGGGCCGGGGGGGACAGTACCGGCTCCCCGCACTGACAGGATCGAGAAGTGAGCGAGAGACGGTATGTGTACGCTCACTTCCCGATCTATTGAGCCGACGTGTGACAGTTTCATTGTCACACGTCGGCTCGAACTATGAGGTTAAGTGATAATCACTCACCTCATAGTTCTCCTTTAAATGCATGTGTTTATAGATGGCTGCTTTTTAAATGCAAAAAGTACAATGCAACAGCCACGCGCACAGGTCCTTAAGATAGCCAAGTACACGTTGACTTTTGCATCATTTTTGTTTTATTATTTCTTTGGAATTTTCTATCTAACTTGGAATTTTTTTTGTCATTGTGCTGCTTTTTTTTTTATTATTTGAGCAAAACTAGAATTATTTTATAATGAATTTTAAGTTGATCATTTTTTTCTTTTCACAAAATAAAAAAAATGGGACATATTTAAGATGCAAGACATTCTGAGGTAGGGGGGAGATGGAAGTTTGGGGTTAAACTAGGCTCAAAATTAGATGAAAGGTCAAATTTCAAGTGGAAATCCAGCTACAACTCAATATTTGAGCTTCAGTTTGCCGAGATTTGTCTTCAATTCCTGTGCTGGTGACTACACAGGAAGTGAGAAAGAACCCCAATGGGGACATAGGAGGCAATAAAAATCTGTTCAAACTATTAACCTTTTCTCATTCTATTCAAATAAAAAAAAAAAGACAAGATAAAATATTGGAGATGCCATTGTTGAGGTAGAGGATCACCGGAAGACTGACAGTCGCGGGCTTGTCAATCGGCTGACCTAACATTTCTTCTATATGTACAGAGTGTGAGGCTGGCCAGTAACTGTCAAACGTCAAGTGACCTCTGACCCCCTCACATTTCAGTTAGAAGTTTAGATACTCTAAGGGCCTGTTCACACGACGTCCGTTTTGTGTGCTGACCGGCTCCGTACGCTGCTGCACTCAAAATGCATCCCAATGTATCCCTATGTGTTTTATGGGCTCCAGTTCTCACGTGCGCAGTCTGTTCAGCTTACGACAGAAAAAATACTGCATGCACATTTTGTCAGGTCCGGAAACGGTTCAGAAACGGAACGGATACGCAAACGCGTCAAAAACGCACTGCGTTGCAGCTAACATACTAACAGCCCCACTCCAGCAAAAAACCCGGACAAAAACGCACTGCATCAGCAGCTCCATGTCTGATGATCAGGACCTGATCAGGACCTGATGTCATGTGAACAGGCCCTAAAGGTGGCCATACACTTTACAACCATCGCAAGACCTTAGTCTTGCGATGGTTGTAAAGTAATTTAAAAAACGTACGATCTGCCCATCTTGGACAGGCAGATCGTACTCTCGATCATCGCAAGCCCGCCCCCCTGAGGGGCGGGCTTCCGATGACCGCAATGCTGAACGGGCAGTGTGCGCGTGCGCACACCGACCCGTTCGGCATTTGTCTCCCGAGCACCGTTGAAACCAGCCGAAAATCGTACGATTTTCAGCTGGTTTTCTAGCGTGCTCCTTAGACAAAAGACGTGCGACCGTACAGTAGAAACGGTCGCACGTCTTCGTTCACACAGCTCGATTCTCGTACGATCGCGGGATTTCCCGCGATTCTCGTACGAGAATCGAGCAGTGTGTGGGCACCTTAAGCCAGGGTTGGGCAAACTCCGGCCCTCCAACTGTGGTGAAGCTACAAATCCCATGATGCATCTGTCTCTGGGAGTCATGCCTGTGGCTATGAGAATCCTGCAATGCCTCATGGGATTTGTAGCTCCACCGCAGCTTGAGGGCCGGTGGTTCCCCAACCTTGATACAAGCGCCTGTTCGCACTTGTACAGATGCAACAGCATGCACGCATGTATGTACGTTTAAAAGCCAAATTCAGCTACTAACACTTTTGATAAACACACTTAATGATTTTAATGAACACATACTTGTATGAGCTTGGCTTTAAATGCGTTCATTATGAAGACGGGGGACTTGGCAATAATAAATGCACTTTTTTTTTTTTCCTCCAGACTTGGAAATACCCAGCAATAAACTGACAATTTATTAAAAGACTTTCTCTGCAATAATTTAATGGCCATAAAAAAATAATTACATATTGGCACACGAGAGACAATGTGGTTCCTCAGTATTTCCTTTAAATACGTTTGTCGCCCTTGAAATTTTTTACATCCTATTATTTTGTTTTTTTAAAATGTATAATTAAAGTTATTGAGACTCGGAAGAGACATCGTTAAACCACATAGTGCCAGCAAGACACGAAAGCTACGTTGCATTCAGAACTTGTTGGGGACATAACCTATTTGTTCAGTTCCTTTAATTGTCACATGGTCACCCATACTATACAACAGGAAACTCCACTCTAAATTCCAATGGCGGTCAGCACCCATGTTCCCAGGAACACCCTGTCTGCAAGGTTGCAATTATTGAGTTATGGAAGTCTCCAGGTATCACGTATACCCACATGTAAACTTAAAGGAGAACTATGAGGTGAGTGAAAATCACTCATCCTCATAGTTCGAGCCAACGTGTGACAATGAAACTGTCACACGTCGGCTCAATAGATCGGCAAGTGACTTAGCTAACTTCTCAATCATGTCCCTGCAGAGAGCCGTGACTGTC